TCATCATTTGCTGATTTACCTCTCCCAAAGCAAAGTATTTGGCCTCTACCTCATTCCCCATCACTGTAACTCAGATTAAAACAGGATTGAAACATTCTAGACATTTTTTTTTATATTTTTTAATATGCTACTTTATTCATAGATATTTTAAGCTGGGACAAAGTAACACTGAAAGTATCTGTTGCACCTCTGTAGTGACATTGCATTGCAGCTGTGAATTATATGCCTTAAAACACCTGCTTTATGGACAGGAACGCAGATGTAGGATTCCAACTTACAGCAAGAGTCGCTGTTTCCAACAGATGGGATGCTTGATGGAAACCTGGAAGAGGAGTATATATTTTGCTGTTCAATAAGCACGGAGGACCTCAAACATTGACATTTCTTAAAGCTGATAGCAGTGGTAGGGGATGGCATATTGTTCCAGCATATGTTAGTGCTGAGATGACAGGCCTTAAGTGAAACACCGCCACCTGCTAGCAACGCCTAATGTATGAGTCCATATGTAAGCACCAGTTGGAGGGCAAGCCTCGCAGCGTTGCTGTGATCAACCTTTTTAATGAGAGGACAAATTTATGAAATGGCACAGGTGGTGCTGTGAACATATTACACTCATGTCTTTGAAAACTGGAAACTGTATAGAAATATTTTCTATGGCCTACATTACCTGTTAGAATATAGAAAGCATTAATACTGAGAAGTGTTTAGGTATGAATGCCACTGATGCTGGTTTTTGTTGGTTCTGTTTGTTTTCTGTATGTCTCCATCTGAATTCCAGACTTTTTTTCCTTACTTGAAATGAAACGTGGGTTTACATAATCAGACACCCATCCATGGGCATGCCCAAATGATATCTCTCCTTAACATTTTAGAGGAGGTTTTTCAAATTTGGCACTCACTCGCTCAAAGGTAGGAGATCAAACTTCAATACAAATTCATGTCTTCCACACAAGGTAGAAAATCTGCTTGTAATTCAGCTCTGTTATTCAATAACAGAAGGTGGTGAACAAATGTTTGAATAGGTCTGGACAGATATGGATGTAAGTACGAAGCAGACTGCTTAGCAGATACATACAACTGCAGTCTTCATTTTTGTGAAAGTTCTTAAAGACGTGCAGAAAGCAATGGTGGCATTGTGCTGGCTACATAGCAAGAAAGTTCTGGTTTTGAGCCTTTTTGTCAGCTGGGGTCTCATTTTGTGTGTGTTTTATTTCTAAATTATTTCTAAACTGGAAACATCAAGTCATTTTTCTAGTTTAAACTAAAGACTCTACAATAATACAGAGTAAGCATTTGGTGACAGCTGAAAAGAAAAACTCCCTAACAACAGGAAGAAACCTCTGTCAGAATTAGACTTGGGGAGGATTTAAAAGTAGAATGGGAGGCAGAGCCTTCAGTTTTCAGGCCCCTCTTCTGTGGAACCAGCTTCCAGTTTGGATTCAGGAGACAGACGCTATCTCTACTTTCAAGATTAGGCTTCAAACTTTCCTTTCTGCTAAAGCATATAGTTAGGGCCTGCCGGCAGCATGGTGGTTAGCACTGTTGCCTCACAGCCAGACGGTCCTGAGTTTGATTCCACCACCTGGTCTGGTCCTTTTTGTGTGGCATTTGCACATTCGCCCTGTGTTTCTGTGGGTTCTCTCCGGGTACTCCGGCTTCCTCCCACAGTCCAAAGACATGCAGACAGTGGGGTTAGGTTAATTGGTAACTTTAAATTCCCATAGGCGTTAATCTGAGTGTGAATGGTTGTTTGTCTCTGTGTTAGCCCTGCGACTGACTGATGACCTGTTCAGGGTGTAACCTGCCTCTTACCCTAAGGACAGCTGGGATAGGCTCCACCCCCACCGCGACCCTGAAAGGGATAAGTGGAAGAGAATGGATGAACACTTCCATCCAGTGCTCTAATGGGGTGATATGGTACTTTAAGGGCTTTAAGATAAGATGGGCCCGAATTATTCAAGAACATTCAAGCCAATATGGGCCAAATCTGCTCTCTCTTTCTAGTTGATCCAAAATGCTGCAGCATTTTAGCACTCCTGATAATCAATACAGTAGTCCAGCCCGGAAGAAATGCATAATGTTGTTTTCTATGCAGCACCTGAGAGAAGATGCTTCTGATTTTAGAGCTATTACACAAATGCAAGAAAGCAGTCCGACATATTTGTTCAAAATGTCCGTTGAAGTCCAAAGTAATGCCATCCAGAGTTTTATCTGAATTTGCTATGCCTTCTAATAATGCTGCCTAAGCAAAGCACGTATTACAAAACCCTGTAACACCACAATTAGACCTGTGTGGAGAGAACTCCTCATTTACATGAACAAATTGGAGTCGGTTAGATAGATTCAAACCAGTGCAGTGCAGTGCCTTGATTACATACGGCATCTGCTAATCTCTGTAGCAAAATAAGGCTATTTGAGTAAGAGTTTTACCCAACCTGCAAAGCCTCCAAGGCCAGACATGCTTGCTCAGGGTAGTACAGCACAAGCTGTGGCTTTGACTTCTGTATACCAGACATGTGAAAAATGAGTAAATACAATTTCCATCCCATAAATGTCTACACTAATGTATTTGTTTAGCTGTTTATTTATTTGGTATATAGCAATACATTACACTGGTATATTTATTTTTTTACTACTGTGTAAATACTATGGAAAGAACACAATCACATCGAGTAAAATGGTAAGTGGTTCTTATACAGCTCTTTTCTATCAGAGCAATCAAAGCGCTTTACACAGCTTACCTCATTCACCCACTCATACAAACACTGTGCTCTTTATATGTAAGGGCTTTCTATCTAACATTCACACACATTCATACTCTGATGGATGCATTGGAGAGCAACATGGGGTTAGTATCCTGCCCAAGCATATTTGGTATCCAGACTGGAGGAATCAAAGCACCAACCTTCCAATTAGCAGATGACCTGCTCTGAGCTATAGCTTACAAAAAACAGGGTTTAATAAACATTTAAAGGATTACAAAATGAATACATCGTCTTAACCTTAAAGACCAGCAATTTAATAACAATATAACATTATAATTTCGTTTGATTCTCCAGTTCTCCAATATCTAGCCAGTTTTACTAAGCTCCTTATATATTCTGAGATATATGAAGGTACACATACAAGTGTGTGTGTGTAGGTGTGTGGGTATTTTTGTGAATTTTTTGATAATATATGGAATAACATATCGGAAACTGTGATTGTAGAACTCTTGGGTCAGCTTTTTCTCCCTTAAGACTTTATTTCATTGGACACGGTCATGTTTCGAGCCTAGATAAGACACTTTAGATAAGAATAATAAACAGACTCGGCAGTAGATTTAAGTCATCAGACATACCAGTACTTTGTGGTGAAGAGAGAGCTGAGAGTAAAAGTGAAGCTCTCGATTTAACAGTTGATCTGCGTTTCTGGTTACGAGCTTTGGGTAGTGACTGTAAGAACGAGATCGCAGATACAGGCGGCGTAAATGAGCTTTCTCCAAAGGTTGGCTGGCCTCTCGGCCATCTGGGAGGGGCTCAGAGTAGAGTCACATTGAAAGGAGTCAGTTTAGGTGGTTTGAGCATCTGACACGGATGCCTCCTGGGTGAGGTGTTCCGGTCATGTCCCATCGGAAGGAGGCCCTGGGGCAGACACAAGAGATTATATCTCTCAGCTGGCCTGGGAACGCCTTTGTGTCCCACCAGAAAAGCTGGAGGAGGCTGCTAGGAAGAGGGAGGTCTGCTTCTCCTGTGACTCAGCTCTGGATATGTGGAATAACTGGACGGATGGAGTGTCAGGGGCAGCAGTTCTGTAGTAATAATAATAATTACAATAAGTACTGTTGCCTCACAGCAAAAAGGCCCTGGATTTGAATCCACCATCTCTCACACACACGCACAACGAGCTAATCATGAACATTTCCCCTTAAAATACAATCTTTAATTGCTGACAGTAGGAATTATACATATGCTCTTAGGCTAAACTTGGCCTTAATAGCATTAAAAATGTCTTTCATAACTATTAAGTGAATTTTGCATTTTTGTCAGTTTGAGAGGGCAGCAGTGCATAAAGAGCAATATGCAGTACTATACTCTGGCTATGTTTCAGTTCAGGCTTCACTTAAGCGTTGAAAGATTCACAGTAATAATAATAATAATAATACTTTTAAAAGAAACGGATTCTAAGGATTCGAGGCACTGAAAAGAGCTGGACTGCAAATCACCAAGCAGAACAGAACGTCAAGAGACCGGATATTTTCTAACACATTCATTCAGACAGCCAGAAACTGACTGTACACAACACATCTGTCTGTAATCACAAAATACGTCACAAACAGTGCTTCTTGTTGCATCTTAAAATGCAATGTGTGAACTGTTCCTCTTGAGTACTGAGATAGACAACAACCCACAATCCGCGTGTCAGCTCCAAGGTTGTTGTATAGCTTTCACTCCCCCACAATTCTTCAAAGTTAATGAAATCATTCTCACAAAGTCACTGGCGAGGTAGCTCTTTCTCAAGCTACCAAAAAGTGCACTGAGTAACACTGAATATTAAGAAAATGTAACCTGGAAACGTGTCATTGGTGTATAAGGACACAGAAGACTTTGTCAGCTTGTGCATTCAAATTCAGAGTCACCTCCAAACACATTAGCTTTGGAAAGAAGGAGCAAACAGATGAAAACAGATGAAAGACTTTGGGGTTTGGGGCTGATGACTCATCTGGAAGTGTCACAAATTCGTGCTAACTGAATCTAATGGACTCTTACATTGTTGAATTGTATTATCACATCACTTTAAAACTATTTGAGGAAGAGCTAATTCAAAGTCAGAAAAACCTGCTTTGTTACTTTGTGTTGGCTGTGTTTTAAATGGTAATGAATGAGATATTTAGCTTTTTTCACAGCTGTATATTTCCTTTGTCAAAATGAATTAGAAATACAGTAATGTAGTAATAATTAGCTGTCCAGAAATCCTTGGCATGTTGATTGAAAAGGGTTTTATCTGCTTTTCTCTTTCAGGGATCCAAACCAGCCAGTTCCACAGGATACCAAATTCATCCACACAAAGCCTAACCGCTTCGAGGAGGTAGCGTGGACAAAGTACAACCCCAAGGACCAGCTCTACCTTCACATTGGCCTCAAACCTCGAGTCCGAGACCACTACCGAGCTACCAAGGTTGCGTTCTGGCTCGAACTGGTTCCTCACCTTCACAACATTAATGAATTTTTTCAATATGTATCCACTACTACTAAGATACCTCCACAGGACACTACACCGTATCCTTATACCAAACGATTCCCGGGTAAAAACAACTGGCCCTCCACCACACGCCACCCGGGAGTTCCTTCTGCCAACACCAAGCAAACAACCAACCAGCGCAAGAGCGGGGACCTGACTGATGAGTCAACTGTGGTGATTGAGACCAAACGGGACTACTCCACTGAGCTCAGCGTCACGATCGCCGTGGGAGCATCGCTGCTATTTCTGAACATCCTCGCCTTTGCTGCACTCTACTACAAGAAAGACAAACGTCGCCATGAGTCCAACCAGCGCGTCCCCACCCCGCAGCGCAACTCTGCTCCAACCAACACTCCATCTACTGCCAATGACGTAGCCCATCTGCAGAGTGAGGAACTGATGTCTCTACAGATGAAGCAGCAACAGCTGGAACACGAGCACCACCATGAGTGTGACTCACTTCAGGCCCACGACACGCTGCGGCTCACCTGCCCACCAGACTACACACTGACTCTCCGCAGGTCACCTGATGATATACCACTGATGACTCCCAGCACCATCACCATGATCCCCAATTCCCTGGCTGGCATGCAGCCTCTGCACAATTTCAACACTTTTGGTGGCAGCCAGAACAGTACCAACTTGCCCCACGGCCACTCCACCACGCGGGTATAGCTCAGCTGGGACGGGACTGTGCCAGGTTCCCTCTGGATTAACAACTACCCACACGAGGAGAATATAAGTTATTCAGCAGATGTTATTTTGCTACCAAGCCTTCTTGAAAAGCATATACAATATAAAGTGATCATAAACTCACAAAACTATTCAAAATGAATGTTATTACAGTAATAACTCTGTTTGGAGCAAATTGTCACGAAGGTTTTCGAGGAGTGTTACCAAGACAAAGGGCAACCAGTGGATGACTGTTATATAATCTCATGAGACAAAAACAGCAGTTTCTATGTTGACAGACAAAGACGACAGTTGGTGAAAAGCAACAATGGAACACCATCTTTTCCTCCATGCACCTGACTTGGGCACATGAAATGTATTTATGAAAACTTTGTATAAAAAGAACACGAAAAAAGGTATATAGACATGAGTGGAAATACAAAAAGTTTTAAAGAAGAAAAACAATATTAAAATTGCTCCTGAAACTATTGTTTTCATTTTTATTTTGCTTGTGCTTTATGTTGAGGTTTGTGTAAATATACCTGAACATCTGTCATTCTTTCTTCGTGTTACGACTTGTGTTTCATTCATTTTCGCACAATGACCAAATTGCGATCACAATCCCACACTCGGAGAGTTGCACACTGCGGGTTCGCAGGTCACCACATACAGTACTGTCTCGTGCATTGCTTCGTGTCCACGTTTTAGATACTGCATGTAGAACGAGCTTTACTTTGCATTTCAGACATCTACTGTCTGACAGTATGGACTGACTCACTCCCATCACCTGCTGTCACCCTGTTATGCTTCCAGCAGTTTTCTGTCTCAGCACTGCCTGTGCTTACGATGTGACCAGCAATGTATTATTTAGAAATAAAAAGGCAGTGTTTTTTTTGTATTAATATTAGTTGGATATGTTTGTAAAGAAATATATGTTAGATATTTTAAATTGTCATATGCTAGCAATATGTAAAGTATTGTGCCAGGATTGTGATATTTTGGGTTACAAAAAAGTGAATGAGTGTAAATATTAATGATGCTAATTATTATGAAATTACAACATGAGTAGTCATAACTCTCTTTCCATTTTGCATCCTATTATGAAAAAAGAGGCAGATGATTTTAAGCTACATTTGTAAATTCTATTAAATATATATTCATTTGGTCTATAAACCAGTCGAGATAACGAGGGTTTTAATATAGAGTTGAAAAGTCCTTATTTAGTAGTTAGTCTTGTATTTATTTGCAGTTTTGCCTTCGGTAATACTACGCATATTTCTGGACACTTGTATAAAGTTTTTCTGCAACATTTTTAATAAAATATCACAGTATTTTCTAAATAAAAAAATGGGCGAGAGATAGAAAAGAAACATGGTTCAAGGTCTGATCGGATTATTTGTCTGGTGTGTGTTTAATTGGAGAGTATTGCCACTGGACAAAAGAGCACACGTCAAAGCGTTTTCACTCCTACAAAGTCACACTCACCTTTGCACACATATTTCTACAGCAATTTATATTTTATAGAAATAAACTCACACACAAGAGTTGCTGTATTAGAAGTTTATCTGGGTTTATTGTGCCACAGCCACCCTGATAAAAAAAAACAGCTTCACAGCAAGAACTCAAACTTTATCTGAAACAAGGATGTTGCAAAGGTAAGTCTTTCATGTTGTTTTAAGTGTAATTCTTTAAAATGTTCATCTTGTTACAATTTCACGCTCACGTTCTTCATCTGTGTTTTATTTAGTAAAAAACACTTTGATTTATTAAAACATTCAGAAATTACTCTGTCAGATTAACTAGTCATTTTTTTTATCACAGCATCACTGTCATAGGCAAGGCAAGTTTATTTGTATAGCACAATTCAACAACAAGGTGATTCAAAGTGCTTTACAGAGACATTAGAAACAAATGGTAAATGGCCTGTATTTGTATAGCGCTTTACTAGTCCCTAAGGACCCCAAAGCGCTTTACATATCCAGTCATCCACCCATTCACACACACATCCACACACTGGTGATGGAGCTACATTGTAGCCACAGCCACCCTGGGGCGCACTGACAGATAAAAAGCATGATTTAAAATTGATTAAAACGAGCAAGCAAACAAACAAACAAAACAGTATATAAAATCAAAACAGATAAAATCAGTAGTTAAAATGTAAGTCATACAACAGTCATACAACAAAAGTCTGAAAAAAATACTTGATGAAGTAGAGAAAAAAATGAGCTAACACATGTAAAAAAAAAAAAAAAACTTCTACAACTTATAGGGTCAAAATAATAATAACACAAATTTCACAATAAAAAAACCAAAGAAGACACAAACACACACACGAATAGAGTTCCAGTATATTTGAAGCTTGCTTTTTTGTTTTGTTTCATTGACATAATTATTGAGGCTTTAAGTATCAAATGAAATGTGTGTTCTTCAAGGGGAAATAAGGGGTTGTGCAAAATTGGAAACCAACATTTCCATCCATACGTACAAGTTTGGTGTGTGGAACTGACTGTGACTGTGCTACTGTCAGTGCCCTGTTTCCACCAGGTGACACTCATCAGTTAAATTCACCTCAGATTACCCTGTGGACAATCATGAGGACACCACTGGAGTGAGTGAGGAGTGAAATCAATGCAAGATGTCAAACTGAGGTAGAAGGATAAATGGATGGTCCATAAAGCAAAGAGTGGACCCTGTTGATGCCAGACTAGGAAATTAGTATCTGTCAATGGGTGAGAGCAGCCCACTCCATCCTGGCCTTACAAAGGGCGTGGCACTCTTCCGATAAAACCATTTTCAATTTACAATGTATACCAGTATAATCTCAGATGACACCACACTAACCAGCAGTAGAAAAACTATTTAGTAGAATAATAACTATTTACTTAAATAAAAGTACTAAGAAACCAAGCTAAAAGTCCTTCAGTGAAAGTGTTAAAAGTATTTATTTGTAATTTTATGTATTTTTTCTGTATTATGTCATTAGATCATTTTTACTCTTGATTAACAAAAAATATTTTTTTAATTATTTTGCAGTAATTGAAAGAGGTAGCATTTTAGTTACAGTGAAGTTAAAGCACAATAGTTGCTATTACTGCATCACTCAGTCATTGTCAGTCAGCCAGTCAGATAAAGACTGCAGAAAATAAGTTATTATGGAGCCACTATTCAGCACGGGCCTGAAGGTGATCACACGTGACCACGTTGTTTGCAAGGCTGTCTCTGTGTAATCTTGTGGGACTGGCAGCACTGGCACAGGGTGATGACTCAGCTCTCCTACAGCCAGTGAAATGTGCTTCAAAAGGGAAAAAACTCCTGGTATATTTAGTTCCAGATAAACACAAACCTAAAACAAGCACACTGGTAACCAGGACACTCTTCTTGCAAAACAGAAACACAAAGTGGGTTTTTACTGCTGTAAATGGAAGATGGAAGCATTCCTCATTTTCATTTAGCTCTCCTTTTTTCCCAACCGGTCACATAGCAAATGGTTGCTCCAACCTGAGTCTAGTTCTGCCAGTTCTTCCTGTCAAAAGGGAGTTTTTCCTTCCCACTGTCACCTATGTTTGCTGATAGGTGGTTGTCTAACTGTTGGGGTTTTCTATATACAATTTTAGGGCCTTTACCCTACAATAGAAAGCGCCTCGAGGGGACTTGATTTAAATGAAACTGAACTGAATTAAATTGAAGTTCCCTGTGCCCAACACATGAAATAATTTGACTCATGTTTCATTTGTGATCCTTGTCTTTCAGGCAGCATGTTTAAGCACTTGATCAACCAAATAAGGAAAAATTAGGAAGCTGATCCTGGCAAAATTTGAGGTTCACAGAGCATAGTTGTGAGGGCAGTGTCAGCCATTTTCAGCGCTTGCTACTTTTTTGTGCTGGCAGCTGTTATTTGAGCGTGACTTATTTAGCTGTTAGAACTCCAAATGCACATCACTGTGCCTCATAATTCCTCCTGACCTCAGCATTGTTGTTCTTCCGACTGTCATTTAGATGTTTCACAGTTTCAGGATTACACCATCAGTTGTGTCATTTATTGTTCGGGCTGAAGGTTTGCATTACACCTTTCTTCTAACACACTAATACAATGTGAAATGCTGCAAAACTTTAGACTGACTCCTGTTGCATTGTAGCTGTATTGTAGCTCTATGCTGCTTATTGAGTTAGAATAAATCGATACTGGCAGTCTAACGCTTGGAACTTTTGAAACACTTGCATCTGCAAACAGTTTGGTCTCTGCTAGCTAAGCTGAATTCTTGTACTTTTGTGGGTTGCTGTTGTGCTCCATCAGGGAAAAAATATACACATTGTAGAGGTGTGTTTGTGGAGCGTGTGTGCGCTTCCCTGACATGTGCATGCAGACGTAAACCGTTCAGTAACGCTTTCTTGAAATTCCCCCCTCACCCAACAGCACCACTTTCACTATTCAACCTATTGATCCTCCTTACAACAAGGCAAGCAAATTAGGTTTTGAGTTAAATGTGGATTGACAGGGGGAAAATTGAATTCTTTAGTAGTAATGTGCAGTTACTGAAATGCAGTAAATGTCTCCATACAAAGCTCCACAGTAAGTAAAGGCTGCCATATAAAATTCATTTAAGGGAAAAACCTTTCTTCATTAACAAAACTGTTTGAGCAATAAAGTATGATCCAATAAACAAGTCTGATAGATACCAAGATGAATGCTTATTTAGAGAGCTGTGTGTCAAACAAAGAGGTGTGGATGTGCAGGCAGCCTTTTAATTGGCACATTGTTTATGCTTATGGGATGGTGGAGGTGGAGAGGAGTATTGCAGAGGTGAGGTGGCAGAGGGTGGTGAGGTGCTGAACGTTGTTGGAGACTTGACTAAAAGTTAATTAAGCTGGCAATAGTGCTCCATCACTCAGCCACGGTCCCAGAACTGTCATTCAAGCGCACCACTCTCCAGGCAGCCATTACCGAGGCATATCGATCCTCACAGTGACACGGTAGTGCACCAAATAGGAGCAAATAGAGGTGTGTGTGTGTGTGTGTGTGTGTGTGTGTGTGTGTGTGTGTGTGTGTGTGTGTGTGTGTGTGAGTAACCAGGTGCAGCAAGAACCTCTGCTGTGTTCCTCAAACATGAATTAAAATGCAGGTAAATAACTCAGCAGTAAAGCCACTTGATTGCATTTCCCTCCCTGGGTTACTGGAGCCTCAATAGATGAATATGAATTCTTCAAAGTCAATATATGTGCAGTTAGGTGGCAAGGAACCACGAAGGCAGAAATGGCCTGCAGAAATCCGCCTTAACAACTTTTACTTTGGAGAGCATTGTCCTCAGCTCACATTCAGGTTGTTCTTTTCTCATCAGCTGCTGATTTCAAGAATTTTCTACATCACTTGCTGTCCATGTAATTGAGTGACTTAGTGTGATGGCAAAAAGGATCATGGGATTCATGCAGCTGAATCCTCTGCCATAGCATGCTTCTCAAATTTTCTAAAAATGACTCCTGGCATTAATGAATGTGAATCCTCTGCCACAATGCTTCATTAGGGCAGAGGAATGTGTCATGCCCAACAGCATTAAGATTAGTCTTGCCTATTCCACCTGTCACAGGACAAGAGGCCGTGTGCACCCCGCAGGTGTAACACACAGAGATATGAAACCATTAACATTCATAGTCACATCTAATGTCAATTTAGAATCACCAATTAAGCTAATCTGATGTGTGTTTTTAGACGGTCGGAGGAAACCAGAGTACTTTGTGACTGGATGGCTAGTGAAAAGCTTAACCAGCTCATTGTTATCACCAGAGCTTCAGGTGGTGAAAAAGTAAATAAATAAAAATAAAAAACTTTATTGAGGCTAGCAGAAAGTCAATCCAAAATCCAAAAATCTAAACTGGAAGACATGAGGGAAGACAGGTGGTAGGCAAAAAAACATCAGTGGCAAATTTCAAAATAGCCGTATGTACTTCTTGGACGTGCAACCTGATGAAGGTGTCACCATCCTGGGTCGTTTGACCCAGTGTTTTCTTATAGTTTGATGTTTATGGTTTATGTTTAAGTTCATTAGTTATCTTAAACTCATTTCTATTTTGCCTAGGTTGCCCTTATAGTTCATTGTTTATTAGATTCCCCCTGTGTTTGAGTCTCCCTCGACCTTCATGTGTTTCAGTGATGTCTTTGTCTCCCGTCTCCTCCTCTTTTACATGTTTTCCCCTTGTGACCCATTCCACCTTTCTTTCCCCCAGCCATCGTGTTGTGTTTGTGCTTAGTTATGTCCATGTCTCACCTCCAGTCTCCTTTTCCCTCTGTATATATTTATAGTGTGCGTGTTCCTCGTCGGTTCGTCATGTTAAGTCTGTGTGTCTTAATCTGTCATATGTTTAATGTCTGGCT